AACAAAAAAGAAATAAAAGGCATCCAAATCGGTAAGAAGTAAACCTTTCACTATTTGAAAATGATGTGATACTATATATAGAAAACCTGGAAGATTCCACCAAAAAACTACCTGAACTGATAAATGAATTCAGTAAAGTGGCAGGACACAAAATCAAAATATTATTGTATTTCCATACACTAATAATGAAGCAGCAGAAAGAGAAATTTAAAAAGTGGTCCCATTTATAATTGCACCAAAAATAATAAAATACTTACGAATAAACTTAACCAAGGAGGTAAAAGATTTATACTCTGAAAACTATAAAACACTGATGAAAGAAACTGAAGATGACACAAAGAAATGAAAAGATATTCCTGCTCATGGACTGGAAAAACAAGTACTGTCAAAATGTCTATACTACCCAAAGCAATCTACAGATTTAATGCAATTGCGATCAAAATACCAAAAGCATTCTTCATAGAACTAGAACAAATAATCCTGAAATCCATGTGTACGGAACCACAAAAAAAAAAAAAAAATAGCCAAAGCAATCTTGAGAAAGAACAAAACTGCAGGAATTATAATCTCAGATTTCAAGATACCCTACAAAGCTGTAGTAATCAAAACAATATGGTACTGGCATAAAAACAGAAACATAGATAGATCAATAGAAGAGAATAGAGAGCCCAGAAATAAACCCACGATTATATGGTCAATTAATCTTTGACAAAGGAGGCAAGAATATATAATGGGAAAAAGTTCCTTCAACAAATGGTATTGGGAAAACTGCACAGCTGCATGCAACAGAATGAAACTGGACCACTTTCTTACACCATACACAAAAATAAATTCAAAATGGATTAAAGACCTAAATATGAGACCTGAAACCACAAAAATCCTAAAAGAGAACCCAGGTAGTAATTTCTCTGACATTGGCCATAGCAACATTTTTCCCTAAGGCAAGGGAAACAGAAGAATAATGTATTGTAACTGGGGCACCTGGCTGGCTCAGTTGGTGGAGCATGTGGCTCTTGATCTCAGGGTTGTGAGTTTGAGCTCCACACTGGGTGTGGAAATTGCTTAAAAACAAAATCTTTAAAAATAATAATTTATTATGCCAAAGTAAAAACTTCTACACAGCAAAGTAAACAATGAAACTAAAGGACAACCCACCAAATGGGAGAAGATATTAGCAAATGACATATCTGATAAAGGGTTAGTATTCAAAATATATAAAGAACTGATACAACTCACACCCAAAAAACAAATAATCCAATTTTAAAAAGGGCAGAAGACATGAACAGATATTTCTCCAAAGACATACATACAGATGGCCAACAGACACATGAAGATGCTCAACATCACTGGTCATCAGAGAAATGCAAATCAAAACCACAATGAGATATCACCTCACACCTGTCAGAATGGCTAAAATGAAAAACACAAGAAACAGCAAGTATTGGTAAGGATGTGGAGACAAAGGAACTCTTATGCACTGTTGGTTGGAATGCATACTGGTGCAGTCACTGTGGAAAACAGTATGAAGTTTCCTCAAAAAATTAGAAATAGGCTCCTGGGTCGTGCAATCGGGTGGACATCCAACTCTTGATTTTGGCTCTGGTTATGATCTTGGGGTCATGAGGTTGAGCCCTGTGTGGTGCTCCACACAGGGGAGTCTGCTGCTGGAGATTCTCTCCCTCTGCTCCTCCCCCTGCTCGTGTTCTCTCTCTCATAAATCAATAAATATATTTTTAAAAGATTTTATTTATTTGACAGAGAGACACAGCATGAGAGGGAACACAAGCAGGGGAAGTGGGAGAGGGAGAAGCAGGCCTCCTGTGGAGCAGGAAGCCCGACTCGGGGCTCGATCCCAGGACCCTGGGATCATGACCTGAGCTGAAGGCAGATGCTTAATGACTGAGCCACCCAGGTGCCCCAATAAATAAGTATTTTTAAAAAATTAGAAATAGAATTACCATATGACTCAGTAATTCCACTACTGGATATTTACCCAGAGAATACTAATTTAAAAAGATATATGCACCCCTATGTTTACTGCAGCATTATTTACAATAGCCAAATTATGGAAATGTCCAATGATAGATAAAGAAGATGTGGTGTGTATACACACACACACACACACACACACACACAATGGAATATTACTCAGTCATAAAAAAAAGAATGCAATCTTGACATTTGCAAGAATATGGATAGATCTAGAGGGTATAAAGCTAAGTGAAATAAGGCAGTCAGAGAAAGACAAATACTGTATGATTTCACTCATATGTGAAATTAAAGAAACAAAACAAACGAACAAAAGAGACAAACTAAAAAACAGCTTCTTAACTACAGAGAACAAATAGATGGTTACCAGAGGGGAGGTGGGTGAAAGGTTGGGTGAAATAGTTGAAAGGGATTAAGAGCACACTTATCTTGAGAGCACTGAATAATGTAGAGAATTGATGAATCACTATATTGTACACCTGAAACTAATTAACACTGAATGTTAATTATACCAGAATTAATTTTTTTTAAAGAAATGCAGGAAAACCTGCCATTTGCAACAACATAGATGGACATTGAGGGCATTATGCTAAATGGAATAAGAGAAAGAAACTGTATAATCTCACTTATATGTGGAAATCTCAAAAAAATTTAAAAATTAAAAAACTGAACTCGAGATACAGAGAATAGATTGGTGTTTCCAGATGTGGGAAGCTGGGAAGGCAAAATGGGGGTGGCAGTGATCAAAAGGTATAAACTTCCAGTTATAAAATGAATAACTCCTAGTGATGTAATATATAGCATGTTGACTATAGTTAATAACTTTATTTTATACACTATTTGAAAGTTGCTAAGAGAGTGGATCTTAAAAGTTCTCAGCACAAGAAAAAAAAATTTATTAACCATGTGTGGTGATGGGGATGCCTGGGTGGCTTAGTTAAGTGTCTGCCTTTGGCGCAGGTCATGATCCCAGGGTCCTGGGATCGAGACCTGTATCAGGCTCCCTGCTCAGTGGGGAGCCTGCTTCTCCCTCTACCTGCCACTTCCCTGCTTGTGCTCTCTCTGGCAAATAAATAACATCTTTAAAAAAAAAACTGTGGCGATGGATGTTAACTAAATTTATGAGGAGATCATTTCACAAAATATATATATATTGAATTATGTTGTACACCTGAAACTAACATTATATGTCAATTATGTCTCAGTAAAAAAATGATAATAAGAGCTATGGAGAAAAATTAAATAGGACAAGAGTGATAGGAAGTACATTGGTTGAGATGCTATTCTATATAGGGTGGTCAAGGATGGCTTTTCCAATTTGGTGACATCTGAGTTAAGTCTTGAAGAAAGTGAAGGAGTTAAGTGATGCCAATATCAGGAGTAAGAAAATTCCAGGCAGGGGAATCATCAAACTCACACGCAGAGGGGTCAGAATTAAGTTACAAAAAAATTTACAGAAGATACAGTCAGGTTAACAGAGAGCCAGATCACATAGGGCTATATAAACAACTGTAGAGATTTTGGTTTTTATTCTGAGATGGGAAAGCACAGAAAGCTTTAAGTCAAGAAGTGACATAATCTGACCCACATTTTGGAAGAATCACCCTGGCTATTGTGTTAATAATTTTAGGCAGGCACTGGAGGAAGTAGAGACCAGTTAATAGGCTACTGCACAGATCAAATGAGAGAAGACTGTGGCCTAGATGTGGACCAGCTGAACTTTTACACGCAAAGGCTTCCAATATCTGAACTGCCCTTTCACCTGGGCATAGGTGTTAGTCACAATGTTGAAAATGCATATGCTCTATCTCAAACACAGTTTCAATTAACTGCATAAAATCCCCTTATAGCAGGAATTACTTAAAATTTCCTTATTTATGAAACTCATTTTGGCTATTATTATCTCAAAGATTGTCCTATGGTGTTGTTTTTAAATCTATCCTTCTTTTCTGTAATCCTTAGTATCATTATAGTCTCTTTCCCTTTAGAAGTCAATGATGGGTGCACCTGGGTGGCTCAGTTGTTAGGCGTCTGCTTTCGGCTCAGGTCATGATCCCAGAGTCCTGGGATCGAGACCCGCATCAGGCTCCCTCCTCTGCAGGAAGCCTGCTTCTCCCTCTCTCACTCCCCCTGCTTGTGTTCCCTCCCTTGCTGTGTCTCTCCCTGTGTGAAATAAATAAATAAAATCTAAAAAAAAAAAAGTTTAGAAGTCAATGATGGACATGGATTCCAGGTTGAGTACCCCAGTGAGGACCATTTGAGCATTTAATTCAAAACAGACCTGGAAACTGATCCAAGTGTTTACTCATAGATTACACGGTAAATCCTGGTCTTATTAGTATAGAACTCCTTGATCAAGCCCCCAATCTCATTTATACTTCAAAAATACTGCCAAAGTGAAAGATCTTATCACTTACTTCGACTGAGACTAACCAACACCATCCCATAAATTGCATGGCTTTCAGTACCAGGACTGTGGTGTGTGATGTTACATACAAGGTAATCTTATTTCCAACAATTCTGTTAGGATAAGGCTCTTGTATTTGCCTCACTAGACCAGCAGAGATCTTAGCAGAGATTTGGCACACAGAAGAAACTGCCCAATTAATACTAAGAGGGAGGGGATAGATTAAAAAATTGAGTCTTGGGGCACCTGGGTGGCTCAGTTGGTTAAGCGACTGCCTTCGGCTCAGGTCATGATCCTGGCGTCCCAGGATTGAGTACTGCATCAGGCTCCCTGCCCAGCGGGGAGCCTGCTTCACCCTCTGACCCTCCCCCCTCTCATGTACTCTCTCTCTCTCTCTCTCATTCTCGCTCTCTCAAATAAATAAATAAATCTTTAAAAAAATAAATAAAAAATTGAGTCTTTGGACCCAATCCAAATGGGAAGTACTATGGACAAGGTTTGTTGAATGGGCTTTTGGTAGTCAGGAACTGTCAGGAGAGGGAAAAAATTATGCTCTGAGAAACAAGAACTATTTCAGGGAAGAACGAAAAAAAACCCAAAGCACCTTGATCTTGGCCTCTAGATGTTCAATAATCGTTCTTTACTCTTCCTCTTAACAATAGAAACTGTAGAAAGAGAGAAGAAATTGATGAGACACTGGCTTTTCTTGGAATTCCAGTTGACCAGGTTGGAACACACACTTTAGGGACTCCAGTCCCTCACTGTCCCCACACACATACAAAGGAAAGTCAGGGAAGACTATAGAGTCCAGCCTAATGTAGTTACAGGAAAGGGCCAGAATCACAGATGTCTCCTGGATAGAGTGGTGAGTCACACCCTCCACCCCATGTGCAAACATGGTGCTGTACCAGGTCACTCACTTACATATAATCCCACACCTTGGGGACACACAAAGTCGGAATCACACAGCCTCCCCACACCCACATACCCATTGCCCCACAGCCAATCACAATCACACACACACACACACACACACACACACACACACACACATCCCCCAAGGGGGTCACACTAGTCACACCTACACAGTCACAGACTCAAACCCACCCATCCCCACACACACACACGGTGCCGCACACTTTCCCAAAATCACACACACTCCCTCACCGCGGGACACAGCCCCAACTGCACAGTCACCGGCCCTCTACATCCCTGTGCACGATGGTGCAGTCATGCACTCACAATCACATACCCATTCTGGGAACACGCACAGTCCCAAGCACCCTACTCCATCACCCAGAGTTATCACCACATACAGTCACAATCACACACCACGACGACACGCGGTAACAATCACAATTACTCTCTCTCCCCCTCCCATCCCCCTTCCTCCCTCCTCTCTCTCTTATTCTCTCTCTCTGTCTCTCTGTCACACACACACACTCACTCACTCTCTCTCTCTCTCTCTCTCTTCAGCCGGCTCCGGACACGAAATGCTCCTACCTGAACTCCTCACCCTAGTCCTTCCCTAGTTGCGGGCTGGCCCAAACTGGCCAAGTTGCACCGGACTCCAAAGGCCCGGCAGCAGCTAACTCGGGGAAGCCAACGGTCTCGCCATCCCGCAAAGCGGCCGAAATCCTGAGGAATGTAGCGTCCGCCTGCGAGTCCTCCGGGAAATGCAGGCCGGAAGCGGGCAGCAGGCCTCCGGATTCCTCTCCGCGCGCAAGCTGGGCTCGTGCTCATCTACAGCTTCTCGGCGCCAAACAGAACCGCGAGGCCCGACGCGGGCGGCTGGTAGGCGGAGCGGGTCGGCGGGAGGCAACCGCCAGGCCTTCAGGGGCCTCACCCCGGGCAGCTGGAGCGTCGCCGTAGGCACCGGACGGGACGCCCGGTTCTCGGCCGACGCAGCCTCGAGCCGCAGCGTCTGTGGGAAATGTAGTCCAGGCCAGAAAAGCTGCCACTCAGGCCAGAATGCGAGCGGACACCTGGTCCTGGCCGCCGGAATCCGACCCGCGGCACCCGGGAGATTTCTGGAGGTACTAGTTCGCCCTCTGCATGCAAAGGGATGACATTTCATCTTTGTCGATGAGAGCAAGCCTAGGTCGCTCAGCGCTGAGGGTGAGTGAAGGTGGGACCTAGTCGTCTCTTTCTGGACCTAGTGGAGGCGGGGACAGGGAAGGAATCACGGTCTTGCAGGGGGAAGTGGGGACGCGCCCGAGGGACGCTCTCAGGTGAAGAAGGCGGCGGGGCAGAGGTGAGTCCGGAGATGCTGTGTTGCGACCGCAGGTGTGACTGGGTGTTGTGTATATATAAATATGGGTCACCTATTTGGGAGAGCAGGATCGTATCTGTTTATCACCAGTTAACCCCTAAGCCTCATCCGTAAAATGGTAAGAAGGCATCTTCCTGGAGCATCAGTTTTCTTTGAAGGTTGACAGGAGGAAAAGGTAACCTATTATATGATAGACAACATAAAATGGGTTTTTATGTTAAAATAGACATGTTTAGTATGAATTAAAATGCTAATGTAACATGCTTTTAAAGCAAGAAAGAAGGTTGCAAAATAATTGTTATGAAATGCTTGATTTTATCAGTTGAGACCCTCAAGTTTAGAAACATACTTTCTTATGTACATTTAATGAAACTACTAAAATATTTAGGTTTAACTCTACCACCTCTTTGTTATCTGTTTATTCCACCTGTTCACGATCTTAACCTTTTCAGAATACAGGTTATTTTGCAGTTCTTCAATTTGTGTTTACCTGATGTTTCCTCATCATTTATACATTTTTAAAAAGATTTATTTATTTATTGAGAAAGAGAGCCTGCAAGTGTGTGGAGGGAGAGGGAGAGAGAATCTTTTTTTTTTTTTTTTACAGAGAGAGACACAGCGAGAGAGGGAACTCAAGCGGGGGGAGTGGGAGAGGGAGAAGCAGGCTTCCCGCTGAGCAGGGAGCCCGACTCAGGGCTCAATCCCAGGACCCTGGGATCATGACCTGAGCCGAAGGCAGACGCTTAAAGACTGAGCCACCCAGGCGCCCCAAGAGAGATAATCTCAAGCAGACTCCACATTTGAGCACAGAGCGCCAGGGTCTCAGTCTCAGGACCCATGAGATCACGACCTGAGCTAAAACCGAGTCCCACACTCAGCCAAATGAGCCACCCAGGTGCCCCTCATCATTTATACATTTTGGGGATTACCCCATAAAAGTGATGCTATGCTATTATCAGTTTATCCTATCTGGAGACACACAACGTTAATATGTTCCATTACCTGTGATGTTAATTTTTATTATTTAGTTTACATAGTGTCCATGACTTTCTCCACTGTAGAGTTAATTAATGAGTTTGTTGCATTTATCAATGAATTTTTAAAAAAAGGAAGCCAACTGGCAAAGGAGTTTGGGAAATGCCGTTTTCAGACTCGCAGTGCCAGCATTAGAAAAACCTATAGAAGGTTCAATGTGGGACTGAAAAATAATAGATTAATAACCAGCACATGATCATCTTTTGAATTTCCTTCACCTCTTTTTATTTATTTCTTTCTTTTCCAGTAGTGCATTCCCCACCCCGTCACCAGAATCAGGTGCTCCAGAGGTTTGCCCTGTGTGGGTTGCCTGTGCCCCTCTGTTATGGCTGCCCTGGACAGCTGCCAGCCCCGCACTTGCCCTCAGCCACCCTAAAACCTGGAATGACTATGGTGGGTGCCCTGGTGGGCAGAGCTTGCCCTGGGACTGTCGACTGAGAGGCCCAGCTGTGGTTGCGGACCTCCATCTCTTTCTTATGTTGGATTACTGGTTTCTGGAGCTGCGTCTTCTTTTATTTTTGGTTTAATCTCTCCCTTAGCACCTTGAGAAAGGTTAATTTGGAGTAAAAACTTTGGGTCCTTACAAGTCTAAAAACGTTTTTATTTTACACTTTTTTGGATGACAGCTTAACTAGGTTTGAAATTTTAGGTTAGACATTGTTTTCCCTTAGAATTCTGAGAGAATTATACCAAAGTTTACAGTTTTTTATCTTAAAATATGATGACAGTTTGATTTGTGTTTTGTTCTTTCTCTTTGGAAGCACTTAAGATCTCTTCATACCTAGTTTTCTGAAATTTCACAAAGGTGTGCTTTGGTATGGGTCTTTTTTGTGAATTGTACAGGGACCTCTTTATTTTGAAGAACCATGACCTATATTTCTAGAAAGCTTATATTTGTTCTCTGAAAGTTTCTTCCATTCAGTTTGCTCCTCTCTCTCTTGAACTCCTTTTATCTGGGTATTGAAAATCCTAATTTTATCTTTTATCCTTCTCATCTTTTACTACCTTTATTAAACTTTTTTTCCCTACAACTTAGTGATTTCCACAACACTATTTCCCATATCTATTAAATTTTTACTAATAGCTATTTTTTTTTTAATTTCAAGAGCAGTTTTTAGGGGCACCTGGGTGGCTCAGTCAGTTAAGTGTCTGCCTTTGGCTCAGGTCGTGATTCCAGGGTCCTGGGATCGAGTCCCACATTGGGCTCCCTGCTCAGTGGAGAGCCTGCTTCTCCCTCTCTCTCTCTCTGCTGCTCCCCCTGCTTGTGCTCTCTCTCTCTGTCAAATAAATAAATGAAATCTTAAAAAAAAGAATAAACTTTTTAAAAAGAGCAGTTTTTATAGTACCTGTTATTTGTTTCCTTAATATAATATCTTATCTCTCTGTGGTATTGTGGGGAGGTGGGGGTTGGTGGGTTGTTCCTGTTTTTTTGTGTCTTTTTCTCTTCCTTACATGTATCCATTTCCTTGGAAATTTTTTTTCATTGTTTTCATTTGTCTTTCGTATTACTAGGTTTACATTAACATTATTAGGTTTTCCCTAATTTACAGATTAATAGCTGTCCTTTCATCTTTTCTTAATAATGCACTAAAAAGATGACTGTAATATCTGTATATAATGAGGACTCGTCAACTTGCGAGCTTCTTTATAGAACTATTGGTCAAGAATTCAGACATTTTTGGAGAGCCTGGGTCGCTCAGTCGTTAAGCGTCTGCCTTCAGCTTGGGTCATGATCCCGGGGTCCTGGGATCAAACCCCACATTGGGCTCCCTGCTCCGTGGGAAGCCTGCTTCTCCCTCTCCCACTCCCCCTACTTGTGTTCCCTCTCTCACTGTGTCTCTCTCTGTCAAATAAATAAATAAAATCTTTAAAAAATTTTAAAAAAGAATTCAGACATTTCTTTGTCAGTCTCAAAATGTTAGTATTAGACAGGTTTTCTTCTGGGCTGTTCCATTTTTCCGGAGGAGTCTTCTCATCTCTTTTGGGAGAAGCAGGCTCCCCACCAAGCAGGGAGCCCGACGTGGGGCCGATCCCAGGACCCCGGGACCATGACCCGAGTCGAAGGCAGACGCTTAAGGACTGAGCCACCCAGGCGCCCCTTCTCATCTCTTGAATACCAGAATTTTGGAGGTCCAACAGTAACGAGGACCCACCATTTATTTAATCCCCCTGATTTGAGGTGCCTGAAAGTGGCTCAGTCAGTTAAGCATCCAACTCTTGATTTCGGCTCAGGTCATGATCTCAGGGTCATGAGCTAGAGCCCCACCTGAGTGGCTCAGTCGGTTAAGCATCTGCCTTTGGCTCAGGTTATGATCCCAGGGTCCTGGGATGAAGTCCTGCATCAGGCTTCCTGCTCAGTGGAGAGTCTGCTTCTCCCTCTCCCTCTACCCCTACCCCCTGCTGTGCTCTCTCAACCTCTCCCTCTCATATAAATAAAATCTTAAAAAAAAAAAAGATTCTCTTCCTCTGCCCCTCCCCCCACTTGCATGTACTCTCTCTCTTAAAAAAAAAAAATTAATCCCCCTGATTTCAGTTTGGTGCCTTTCCCTGCCATCTGCTTTTCCTTTTCTTTTCTTAAAAATTTTTATCTATTTATTTGAGAGTTGAAAGCTTAATTTAGACTTAACATATTATGAAGGAATCCATGTAATAAAGAAATGCTATGAATATTGTAAGTATATTATAACTCATCCTATTTTGCAGTAACCCCTGCTAATTGAAATCTGTATAACAGGGATTCATAAATAAAGCTCATCAAATACCTGAGAATATACTGTGGAGAGAAACCCTATGAACTAACTTTCTCCGTGTGAGGGCTTATATTCACACTCATCTTATTAGTCACTAGAGAAATAATGCAGCAAAGGAAACCTGTACATGTAAGGCTATTGGAAAACCTTTAGCCAGTTACTCAAACTGGAGGAATATGAGAAAA